CTGCACTGTGTCTCCTTCCTTAAGCAAGAAGCTTTATGGTACACTTCTTCTTATCTTTAATATAAGAGCTAGTTGACTAATGTAAGTAGATCAAGAAAAAATTAGTTAAGCTAATTGTTTATAATAAATAAGTATTATTTCTACTAAAATATCCTTACTAATCAAGTGTATTAGTTAAAACTACTATTATTACAATAACTAGCTTGAGAAAAAATGAATGAATATGAGGGACAAAGTAGACTAAGATTTTATATTTAGGACCAAAATAAAAGTCAAATAAGCTCTTATAGTAAGTACCGGAGGTAGTTTATGCTTGTTATCTTAATCCGATTCCATCTCTCCAATCGCTACCCAAATATGGTTAGTTGAAGGAATATGTTAGTATAGTGTGTGGAAGTCGCTATAAAATTACAAAATTGGGCAACGATGCATGCGACACGTTTTCCTTCTCTGGCTGTCCTTTTTTCATTCTTTTACTTTCACTTGATACTTTCTTATTTTGAGGAGAGAAGTTTGGAGAAAAGAAACAAACAATAAAAATATTTTTGACAGAGGCATAAATAATCAAGATATATGTAGCAACAAGAGGGAACAGATAATCAGGCCCAAAAAAAAAAAACAAGAGGGAACAGATAAAACTTTCGAAATTGGTAGGCGGCTTACCCGCATTTTTCTTTCTTCTTTTCCATTTTTTTCTTTTCTTATATAGCTACTTATAGTATATTATCTTCTATTCTTAATATAAAATTTGAAAATTGTATTTCTGTTCTTTTTTTAACAACTCTTATATAGCTGCATGCATGTAGCCACTGCAGACGTAGAGGATGACATATTGCTATGAGGTCAGTCACACTCGTCACAAAACTTAGATCGCAGGAAGTGTAAAATTTTAACGTGCAATAAATTAGGGCTCAAATTAATTTCTTTTCCATTAGCACCGATAATAAATGATTCTCATCCACACTCCATAAAAGCATATGATGCCTAATTTCACTTTTTTAAAGTTAGATTCTTGTTGAAAAATAAAGGACCGAAGTTAAATTGTTAAATGAAAGCATATATTTCTACAGGACAGGTGTGTGAAGGATATGATACAATAATAGGGATGGATGGGAGGATTCTTTAATTTCTTCTGCCCATTGATTCGCTTAATGAGGCATGTTGTATAGATAGGATATAGTAATACCTCTCGTCTTTGAATAAAATTGAAGGAACTTGCGCTTTTAGGTTCATTGAAATCTGCTGGACTGAATCATGCTCATAATAAATTACTATATTTGCCATATCATTAGGGGTTGAAATTTAGACAGAACACATTTTTAAGCATAGGTCCGTCCAAACACCAGTAAGAACTTCCAATTTGAAACTAACTGGTGTTGGTCCTGCTGCAAGGAGCTTTGGCTGGTTAAGTACAATGTTTAGACTTAAAGTTCGTGTAAATGCCAAAAACATAGTTGGAAGGGCTTCCTCCAATGAGGCTCGGTAATATTTGAATCTCATCCAATGAGATCATAATCAAAAATTCTCAGTTTGCATTAATCGTAGTAGCTATAGTAGCCCCAAAGATACTTAGATGTGAAAGTACCAAAAAATATATATAGAAGTAATTATATATATATGGGTTAAGGTACATCTAGCACTCTCAAATATTTTTTCAAGTGCACCCAATATCTACAAAGTATTTTGTGACACAGCCAATACTCCAAAGTATTTTTTAAGTGCGTCTAACACCTTAAAATATTTGTTTTGCTTTGATGCTGAATGCATCAAAAAATATTTTGGATATTAGATGCACCTAAAAAATAATTTAAGATGTTAGATGTATTATAAAATACTTTAGGGTTATAGATGCACCCGAGAAAAATACTCTATGGTGCTAGATACACCTTAACCCTATACACATATTACCCAATTATAAAACATTAACTAACAAAACTTCTTTTTATGTTATATACACACCACATTCGAAAACACGTCACTCCAATGACAAACGCAACCGTTCTTCAAGTAAATACAGAATTTTCAGTTTTTGAATGTAAGTTGTCTTTCTCAAACTTCTACCGTATATATATTGCTTTTATGTTTAATTTATTATATTTTTTAATGTCAAATTTCTTAATTAATTGCAATGATTAAGAGAAGAAAATGCAACATGGATATGAAAACTGTATTGATATAGAAATTCCCCAACGGATATATGATCTGATGGTACAAAAGCACCGAGGAATTTGTTACAAACTTTAAGAAATAACAGAAATGTCAGAGAATTGCAGAAAGGAAAAAGGAAAGATTCCTCCAATAAGAGAGAGAGTCTATCAACGAAATATTCCACACCCATCAGTACTCTGTTGTCCCTATTTTATTCACGCGTCAGCCTCCAATTCGCGAAGCTTCCTATTCCTAGTTTTCTTCTTAATTCTTCTGCTTCTACGGACCGAGTCATTTTGGGCCTGGTCCTCATTCATCGTTGGGCTCATTACATTAATATATGGGAAAGTTACATAATTTGAACATGATCAACATCAACCGGTAATCAATAAATCTGCAAGATCTAAAGAAAATCACACACAGACAAAAAAAAAAAAAAAGGAAAAAAGAGGATCGAGTACCTAAACTGAAACCAACAGCTCATAAGGCATATTTATGACATATACTTTCGACTGGTTGATTGGGATTGTTGTGGCCAAAATTAAACAACGGAACTTTTGATTGAATGACATTTCATGTCACCTCTGAATTAAATTTATAGCTTCTTCTTTTTTATATTTTATCCATATTTAATTAACGAAAATTATGCTTTTTTCTACTCCTCAACTCATACTTAATCCTTCAAATTCATTTACTCACCAAGACTTAATAAATATATATATGTATATAAATTGTTTGAGATTCAGAATGTCTAATGCGTTTTTCTGAACTTGAATGATACTCCTCCACGCCTTAATATAGGACTTAGTTGTTATGTTAATTTTGGTTCTAAATGTGAGACTTATTTCTTATATTTATTAATTTTTCTAAATTAGTCATATTGATATTCCCTCAACCATAATCAAGTAGGAGCGGGGGAAGGATATTAAGAAAGATGATTATGGTGTTTTAGAAGGAAAAAAAAAAGTCATATTTTTTTATAACTAATTAACTTATCTAACTTTTTTAATTATCAAATTAGTTAAATAGGTTTTACATTAAGAACCGGAGGAGTGCAGTACAACATATCAAACAAGAGTATGATAATATTAATGCATTTTGAACGAAGATTTCAACGTATAAAAAGTGACTTGATCGTACGTCTCAATTTTGCATTCTCTATTAGATAATTTGTTGTTATGATTAATCATATTGTGAAAAGAGGCCCTTAAAAGACATAGATAAAAAATACTAGCTCGGGTCCTTAATATAAAAGCTAGTTGACTAATTTGAATAAATTAAAGAAGTTTGTTGAGTTAGTCAATTATTTGTAATAAATAGTTGTTGTGTTTCTTAATACCCTTGCCAATCATGTGTATTAGCTGGAACTATAATTTGATAGAATCTTTGATATATATAATTACTACAACGACTATTTAAAAAAATAAATAAATATGAGGCACAAAATAGATTGGTGTCTTATATTTAGGATCAAATTAAAAGTTAAACTAGATTTTAAATTAAGGATCAGAGGTAGTATATGTTGAAAAAATCGTTGTTTAAAAGAAAATTCTATATCTTCTTCACATGTAATGCTCTTCTTAAAAAAATCAATAACGAATGCATATAAAGTTACATAGGATTAACTCGAATCCTATGTGGGGCCAAGCTACATGTGGTGCTCTAATTAAATTAATTATATTATTGCAGAGAATTTTGTTAGTCCCCCAATTTTCTGTGCCCACTATCACGATGCATATATTCCTTCACTCACACAAGTTACAATTACATGTGTGTGCGCGTATATATCCTATCAAAGTATATGAAAGAAGGCAAATAATTACACAGCAAAAAAAGTTTGAAGGCGGAAGAGATTGACCCCAGCTAGATGGCCAATAGGGAGGATTTGATCCGCTGGTTCGGACTCCTTGATCAGCAACCGGTTCCGGTGGAAACAAATCCCCAGCACGGCACCAACCCCCCCAGCGCTGCAGTTCCTCAGGGAAGCCCAGTCGCAGCAGCACCTCCAGGACCGAACTCTCCTCCGGCCACGTTCAGCAACGCCGGCACACAGAACATGAAAGGTCTTATAAACAACACTGGCCATACCACTGGCAACGGAAATGGTTCCATCATCTTCGGTTCCTTTGACACCTCTACCAGGGTCGGCAGGAATTAATTAAGACCAATTTAGTAATTAATGATCTCCAGCCCCTTCTTCTAAAGTCTTAATAATAATCCTTTATTATGCTTTAGTTTAAAGAACATGAATCTTGATCAAGACAGTTGTTAGTTTGTAATGATACGAGGTTCCTGCACCTCTCTAATTTACATAATAAAAATCTTTTCCTTTCGTGGCATTATATGAATACTCCTCCGCCAGTTGTGTGTTGGGTCAATGCCCCATTTTTTTTTAAAAAAATAGAGGATCTGAAACAGTTACATTTTCTGTCAAAATAGTTCGGCCCAATTTGCGAGGTCTTATCTGGACTTTAATTTCAATTTATCATCTAATTAGCTGATATGAAACTTATTATATTCTAGTACAGACCAATTCACCCGTAAATGACACGCATAAGACTGAGATTTCATGCACCAAGGCAGCTCTAAAACGTTGGATTACACACACACGGACACATTTAATCATTTGAATCCTTGATCATAGTATTTATTGATGGCATGAAAGAAGAGGCTGGCTGAAGAAGCTCATCGGGACTACAAAAGCAGACATTAGTCAGATTGATTTAGTTATTGTTTGTTGGACTAATGCCCCATTTGTTTTTTTTTTAAAAAAAGGGATTGATTAGAGAATTTTGGTTAATTAATTAGAAAGTTTTATAATTACTTAGCGATTTTAGGCGGAAAAATATTAATACTCTAAACAACAAGTATTATATTATAAAACATGCAAGAGTTCCTTATTAATGAGATGAAAGAAGAGGCTAGCTAACTGAAGAGCCTCCTCGATCAGGAGTACAAAGTACACGTACAGTAGTTTATTATAATATGTAACCAGGTTCTCAGGATCTGGTGGAAGAATCAAAGCCTCCAAAGACAATAGATCCGTTACCGTTGCCTTGCGTGGTGCCACTGTTATGGATCAAACTACCGCCATGGTAGTCGGAGCGATGATATGTGTTGCCGTTGCCGGAATAAGCGCCGCTGTTGTAGTTAACGTCTCTGAAATTTTGAGAGCCAGATCCGTTGTTGTTGAATGAGCCTTGAGTTCCACTGTTGTGGCCTCCGGCCGATGATCTGCTTGCTTGTTGAGCCTGAGAGTCGTTATTTCCCAGCAGGCCACCAAGAAGCCTTCTCACCAGCAGCTCCGATTCCATTTGATCTTACTGATCTTATAACTGGAGCTTCACGATCAATATATGCTTTAATTTTTGGCTGGCTTTAATGTTTGTGTCGCTTGATATTAGCGATCCTGCGTTTTACAGACGCAAAAAAGAAGAATTTATGCTATTCTCTGGCTTCAACACCAAGCTATATATTGTGCCATTCTATTCATATTTATCAGTCACATGGACTGCAAGCCAGCAAAGCAACCAAGAAATAAAGAAAGCATTAAATTCACTATTTTTTTTTTTTTTACATTTGCCCTCAGTAAAGAAGGGGTATTAAAAATATGTTTTATATTTTCCCTTACCTATTTACTTTATCTCTCTCTAGATCTATTAATTTAACATGGGTAAATTTGAAAGAAAAAACCTCATTAATTACCCTACAAGTGACTTGTATTTAGAAACAAATTTTTTTCTTACAAGTGACTTGTAAATAGGAATAATATCATTAATGGTATAAGCTATTCCATCGTTTGCCCCATAATATATTATTAGTTAATTCTATATGCCGTGTATGATGACTTTCTGCATATTTAATTGATTCTATTTTTTCAAAAAATAAATAAATTAGGTGAGTTGGCTCTTGAGAGCTCATAGAGTAAGAATCATTTAAAAAGTACAAACTAATAAAGTCTTGTTTTAGTTGTGAGATTCACAACCATGCTAGTTAATGGAACCAACCTTTGCTCACTAAATTAGTATAACTATAATTCGTTAGGCAAGGTGCAAATATCTGAGAGGTGGGATCTGGTGGCCAAGAGGAAAATGAGCAGAAGTCTGGCCGTCCAATTTCTAATTTATTTGTCTTTTATTTAATGGAAAAGTTCCTCACTTAATCGGACTCCATCTCTCCAATCGCTACCCAACTATGGTTAGTTGATGGAATATGTTAGTGTAGTGCGTAGAATTCATTATAAAATTACAAAATTGGCCAACCATGCACGCGACCCGTTTTCCTTCTCCTGGCTGCCCTTTTTTTCATTGTTTTACTTTCGATTGATACTTTCTTGTTTTGAGGAGAGAGGTTTGGAGAAAAGAAACAAACAATGAGAACATTTTTGACAGAGGCGGGTCATCCATATTTTTCTTTCTTCCTTCCCTTTTTTCCCCCCCTTGTATAGCTACATATAGTATATTATCTTCCATTCTCAATATAACATCTGGTTTCAAAAGTTGTATTTCTTTTCTTTTCTTTGACAACTCTAAATATATAGCTGCATGCAGCCACGGCTGACGTAGAGGGTGACATAGTGCTGTGAGGTCAGTCACGCTCATCACAAAAATTATTAGATCGCAGGAAGTGTAAAGTTTTAACGTGGAATAAATTAGGGCTCAAATTAATTTCTTTTCCTTCAGCACCGATGATAAATGATTCTTATCCACACTCCATAAAAGCATATGATGCCTAATGTGGATAGGAGGATTCTTTAATTTCTTCTGCGCATTGATTCGCTTAAGGAGGCATGTTGTATGGATAGGATATAGTGTAGTACCTCTTGTCTTTGAATAAAATTGAAGAACCTTTCATTTTTAGGTTCATCTCAATCTTCTGGATTGAACCCTACTCATAACAAATTACTATATGTGCAATATCATCAGTGAAGTTAACTTACCCTTAATTTGTCGCTTTGAGGTTACTCCAAAAATTAACCGAATTAATGCAATATAGTGCACAATTCGAGTGTATTCACTTTGAGGAGCCGAAAATGAAATTAAATCCTAGTAAATAAATGCAAGTAACTTAAACTATAAAAAAGGATTTTTGATTTGATAATTGCTAAGTAAACACCTTGAATTAAATTGAAATTAAAATACTTTTTTTTGTTTTTATATAAAAATGATTAAAATGAATGAAGATTAAAGAAATGAAAATGAGACACACAAATAACACTGATTAAAAATCAATCCTCCAATTCAACAATGCAGGCAATCATCACTCTAAAAGATGTGGGAGTTAAAACAATGAATTAAGAATTATCATTAAGCTTTTAATCCAACAACCGAGCCACCTCGAGTTGCCACAAAATATTTTCCTAAAATCCTAACTTACTAACTGCAACCAGAATAGTAAAATGGGATTAAGGATGCTAAAAACCAATGCTTAATTAGAACTCTTAAATCCAAATAACAGAATTATAGCTAGCAAGAGACAATATGATCCAAAGATTCCAAGCAACCTCAGAAAATCACAATATATTAACTCCAAAATCAATACAAATGTCATAACCACAACATTATAATTGAAATCAAAGCTATAAACAGTCCAATGTCAAATGCTAAGCAATAATTCAGTCACAATAATCTCCAAATATAATCAGATTAAGCAATACAATTATCCCAACAATCAGAAAAACTATCTTAAGCCCTATGAATTGTTAAACAATTATTGAGTAAGAAATTAAAGCAACTAAAACTCCCCTTTGATGATCCAAGCTCCTGCCATTATTGTTGAATTGGAAGATTATGAAACTCTAGCCTCGGTTTGCCATGAGAATTGCCATATTCAGAATTCTGCTACAGGCTTCCATGAAAGAGACGTGATGGAAAGTGCAATGAAGGATGAAGCCGTCTGCTCCCTGTTTTTTTTTTTTTTTGCCTCTGCACGTCACTGGTTCGTGTTCAAACCGTCTCTCTCACTCCTTTGTCTCGCTGCCCAGCTCGCGTCACCTTGTGTGGGCTCTCTGGTTTGCGTCTTGTGGAGATGAAGAATTATAGTATATTAGGTTGGGGGGGCAAATTAAAACGTTCGCGTTTTGCACCCCTTTTATTATTATATATATTTTAATTTATTTTTCTTTTATCTTTTTTTTATCTTTTTTTTAATTTTCATTTTCATTTCAAAATCTTCCAAAAACCTGCAAGCAAAAATTCAAAGATAAGGTAGTATTAATTGTTCTCAAAAAAATCAACTAGTCACAATTAAACCAAAATATGACAACTTTGCCCCTATAAAATAATAATTCAAAATAAAATATATTAAATCAATTAATAATCAATTAAGGCTAAAAAGACTAATTAAGTTGACAAAACCCATATAAAAGATATCAAAATATAAAAATAATTGAGTTGTCAATCAGGCGTTGAAATCTTGGACAGAAACACATTTTAAAGCATAGGTCTGCCCGAACACCAGCGAGAACTTCAATTTGAAACTAACTGGTGTTAGTCCTGATGGAAGGACTTTTGGGTGCCTAAGCAATATGTTTCGACTTCAAGTCGGGTGTAAATGCAAAAAACATGTTTGGAAGAGCTAAACCCAATTAGGCTCAATAATTTTGAGTATCCTGCGCTATATGTATATAGATAGATATAAATACTCCTCTACTCCTAAATATAAGACCCTTATACACACTAGCAAAGGGTCTTATATTTAAACCGGAAGAGTAATATCATAGCATTCGGTGATTTGTCATTAGAATACAAATGGTGAGACTTTATCGTATATGTAAATGCCAGTCATGAGCGAAGCCAGCTGCGAGCCTTGTTTGGGGGTAGTCCCTACTGGCTTTAATTTAATGAGCAATTTCCATAGATTCTGATAGGAATTCTCCGGAGTTATAGATAATATAAGCGTTTGGAAAGAAGACGGCCCTGTGATTATGAATATTATATATATATATAAGCCTTTTGATTGTATAAGATTTCAATATATTTAATTACTGTCACTTTGCACTTGTCCCTATATATCATGTTGTAGCATACTTATCTCGTCCTATTTATAAGGTAAAGTAAGAAAAAGAAGGTTATTATTAGTCCTATTAAGTCATTTTATTAAATTTTAGCATGAATGTACTATTTGTAAATAATTATATATTAAGTAAGAACAAAGTTAGGAAAATTATTATATTTTAATTAAAAAATTAATATAATTTAATTTTTTTTATTTGTATGAAATATGCTGGGAAGTGTCTTATAAATACCTAAAGAAGTAATAAATTTTGTAGTCTTCTCTCCTATAGACTGCAGATCATGCCACGTTAGTCGAGACAAGAGAGATAAGATAAATATCGCGGACCAAGCACCGGCGTAATCCACGCCATCAAAAAACATCCAACAATCTAACGTCAGGGGACCGAATTCCCTCCTCAGCAGTTAACTTTTTTCATAGGCATACAAGCGGATTTTTATTTTTTAGACATTTAATCATTGTTAATTTATCGTTTTTTCCTAATTTACCTCCGCTAGCTGGATAGAATGCGATAGCGATACTTGTGGAATATGGAATTTTCCCACCGTCAATTTAATACTCCTCCGGTCCTTATTATAAGATCCAATTTGACTTTTATTTGGTCCTAATTATAAGACCCAATCCATTTTGTCTCTTATATTTATGCATTTTTTTCCCAGATAATCCTTCTAATAATGATAGTTTTAGCCAATATACTTAATTAGCAAGGATATTTTTAGGATGACAAACTTATTTATTATAAATAACCAACTTAACTTACTCCTTAATCTCCTCAAATAAGTCAATTGGGTCTTATAATTAGGACCGGGAGGAGTAATATTCAATTCCCATCATTTGGATTTTTTCCCCCATCATAATGCATGAATATAGCCAGCTTTAAATTGCTTAATGACAAGCTGGGCTAGTTACAGGGGAAAAAAAAAACGAAACCAGCAGCTTTTAATCCATTCTACTGAAGCGATCCAGTTTCAAATTTCAATGGCAGGTATTAATGTTGTGGCTTTCAAACCATCATTGGAAGCACCCAGTCAACGTGGTGAATACAAGGGCCATGGGATGGGGGCTCGTTCCCAGGGCTACCCCGGCGGCAGCGGCGGCACTACTCCTCTTCCTGTTCCTGTTATTTCTGAATCACTGGCAGCACTGGTACCGGCACGGGCACACAGCTGCCTCTTAAGCGCCATGGTGGTTTAACCAGTATTATTATATTATGGAACATCGAGCATTGAAGGTAGCACGAAGCAACATGGTACCTTCAAGGACCATGGGACCGCAGCTTTTATTCAGGGAGGCTTCACTGCTTCCGGCGACATTAAGTAAAGATCAGCATCTTCTCATTTTTGCTAATTAAGGCTTGGTCGAATAAAAAAGAATATGCAATGACGTTTTAAAATTAA